CCCCAAAACCCCAAAACCCCAAAACCCCAAAACCCCATCAAATTACACAAGAGTTGATTAAATAAATTTAAAAATAAAATGAAACCCAAGGTATTGAAACTTCAGAAGAGACCCAAGAATCCATTAAGAAGATACAGGAAAGGTAAATTTTGGATTTACATAAAGCTGTTACTATTCAAAAGGATACCTAGAGAGATCAGACATTGTAAGCGTCATAACTCTATTATTCCATTTTTGGCTACTACTTCTTATTCTTAACCCTATGCAGCCATAAGCAGCACAATACGGAATGAGGTAGACTCAATAGTAACTGAGATTTCAAAGTGCTTCACTCCTGCAGTACCCTCACATCCTAAAAAAGTCGAAATAAAGGTGAAATTTCATCTAAAATTTAGGAAATAACAGCAAAAAGACAAAATGATTACAATTCTAATACTTTCGGATTGACCGAAATTGATTCTTCAAACAAGTTGTTCTCAAGGCCGAACCTTGACTACCCGATGTAAGCCTTCATTCGCTCCATGAGTTCACCTGATCTCTAGGATCCTTGAAAACGTAATCAGCGTCGAAGACATTACTAAGAACGAAGACCAAGAAATCAGTGCTATAAATACCAATGCTGAAGGTATAAACCGCTTCAAATTTTAGAAACTCGAAGCATGATGGAGATTCAGATGGGGAAAATGGATAAACTTGAGCGAAAAGCTCATAATTTGAACTATGCTATTACCAATACTTTACGGCCAAAGTCCCAATACTCCAAAAGATCTATCCACTTGCTTAAGAAAGATGACAATGATGTCGCTACTCCAGTTCAGAAGAACAAAAAGAAAAAGAGGCCTAAGTCAAGTGTCTTCTTTAATAAAAGTGAGAACGTGCAGGAGATCAAGAGCTTTGCCTCAAAATAAGGTTAAACTCTACGTAATGTACGGAACATCAAAAGCTACACTTAAGCAAGCTAGAAAAATGAATGTAAGAAATTGTGCATAATGTGGTAGAAAATGTTCCAAGATGATGACAAGAAGCCTAAATAAATCCCAGAAGGCCTATAAGATCCTTGGAGCTGGTAAGCAATCTATGGTTACAACTGTAGGACATATAACCAAATAAAGGAGAATCAGAGGAAATTTCTGCATCTAAAAGAATCATGAACAACCTTAATTCTTACCTGAATAAAAGGAAAGAATTCACAAGTTTAGTGAAAAAGCAATCTAATGGATCTTCAATTGACATAAACAGCGATCTAAATACTCTGGATAAGGCTAAATACTTCAGGAATCCACATAAGAATAAGCGAATTTGGAGTGCAAAAGCTGAGAGTCGGAAAATAAAAGAGGTAATCTCTCCTTCCATACATAGAGACAAAGATCTTGAATAATCAGGTCCTCTCAAGCTACTCCATCCTCACACAAAAAGAGCGTGGCTATATACACAGATTACAAAGACAGTGCTCTCATGAGTGCTAGTCCTCTGATGGGTTTATTTGAGCCTGCTATAAATCAAATCAACAAGAAAAACCCACTTGGTCTTAACAAGAACGATGGGAGATTTAAAATTCTCTCATCACTTAAAAGGGAGATAAAGAGGCTGAACAAGTCTAAGAACAAGATCAAAAGGAGCATTATGGCCTAATTTCAACATTTAAAAGCACATCTGGGGTTTTGGGGTTTTGGGGTTTTGGGG